TAAACACCCGCTTCACATATGCACCACTAATATCACCGTGAATCTCAATAAACATATTACATAACTCCTCAGCACACACACAAAAATAAACACCCACTTCCCCCACTCTATCCCGGGTGTGCATCTGGGTACGCGGATAATCTTCACCTCTGCAGATGTGCTGCCCTCCAGCGGCAACTGTTTCTAGCGGCTAACCCCATTGGCGAATTGGACCAACTTCCCAACGCTCTATCAACCGTTCTATGAACTGTGCAGCGCGTTTACTCTGACGACTGCGAGTTGGCCAACTCGATCGAGCGGTCATCGTCGACCGCGACATTATTGCGCGTATAAATTCTTGAGGTATCTATCGCACGCACAGGCGCAAAGACTCGTGCACAGTCACATAGTTGGGATGCCACGAGGGCAGTGGATTAATGGAGGGGTTTCCCATTGGATTTGTTCATGCTCGTGATGCCGACCTCCTCATGTGCACGTGCGCGTGTACGTGCGCGCACGTGTGTACTTTCCCCGTGTACAACAGGTGTACGTGAGTGTACGTATCTGCCGTACACAGATGCTCGTGACCGCACACGTGCGCACACATACACGGGTGCGTGCACGTACACGCATGCGCGCACGTACACGCATGCATGCACGTACACGCGTGCGCGCCCATACACGCGTGCACGCACATACACGCATGCGCGCACATACACGCATGCGTGTACGTACACTCGTGCGCGCACATACACGCATGCGTGCACGTACACGCGTGCGCGCACGTACACGCACACCCGTGCGTGCACTTACACACGCACGTTCACGCGCGCGTGCGTGCGTGCACATTAGGAGCTCGGCTGCACGTGCTTGGACAAATCCAATGCCCTCGTGGCAATTGGACCGGCATCCTGACTCTGTGACTGTGCGTGCCGTACCTCGGCTTTTATGCCACAGAGAGTCGTGTTAGCTTCCTTGCCTGTCTCGCAGTGTTGTTATTACAATAATCCGTTAGTTCTGTCTGAACGGGGTGGCGGGATGTGCCTGTCGTCGTCGTCGTCGTCGTCGTTGTTGTTGTTGTTGTTGTTGTTGTTGCTGTTGTTGTTGGTGTTGTCGTTTGTTGTGCTGTTTCTTGGCGGCGGCAACGGAGAGGAGAACAGGGAGAAGAGAAGGATGTTGGGCAAGATGTTGGGGATGCGGATGAGGATCGTATGCGAGTATGCCATGTACGTGCACGCACTGGTTGATGAGCGACACCTTGTTCTCCGTAACTTCCGACTCTGCCGTGTCCTCGCGAGTTCCCGTGACGTCGGCGCCTCGGCGACGTAGCGCTCAAACTAAATGACGTAGGGACGATGTTGAGCACGCAAAAGAGAGCGTGGTGGCGTGGTGCACATCGCAAATTCGGACCTTACTACTTCGTTGGGGCGGCACTGCCCGCCTCATTTCCATTCCTACCCTATAAGGTATAGCGATTGGGACATCGCCACCTCGGCGACATAACACCTAAAGTAAATGGCCTAAGGCCGATGTTATGCATTTAAAACAAAGCGTGGATGCCGGACAGTTTGTGCGCATTGCAAATCCGTTCACTTTCATTGTGAATTGTGATTCACAATGAAAGTGAAAATTAGCATACGCGGAATCCGGAACGCGATGCTGCGAGCAAGGTGAATCTTGTAGATGGGATTTTACAATGCACACGTGACGTCAATGGAATGCCCAAGATCAGCCAAAGGTATATTTATCTTGGCTTGCAACGTCAGTTCATGTATATTACTATAGGGAAAATTGCTGCGGGATGCTGCGACCAATGTGTCCGTCCCCTTGCCCCCCCCTTGTCCCTCGCTCAACCTCCTGCTTCTTTTACGGCCGCTCAGCTATCTTCCCTACCGCCTTTTTTCAGTCTCCCATGCACCCTTCTCTCTCTCTCTCAGCAAGCTATATTATGCAGTTTTCTTCAGTCATCTCAGTATCTAAGCATAGATTTATTTAATAAATAATATATTAGATATTATTATGATAGGGTCCGGTTTCCTGAACGTTTTTTTTTGAGAACGGCCGAAGAAAATTACCTTGGCAGTAAACGGTGGGTGACCAACGCGCGAGCGCCATCTTCATGTGGGGGTGAAGTAGGTGTTTTGCACGTATTCTATATGAATATCCCCATAGAATAACGCGCTGTCTTAAGGTCAATGGCGAGATGATGAAGATCTTATCGTAAACATGTTGTTACGATAACTGCGATGGTCAGGGGAAGAGGCGGTCAATGAATAATATTTCGGCCATTGATGAAACCGATGGCAGGAGAGGTTTTAAGGGAGGCACTGGTCCGTCTGCCGCGGCTGTGCGGCTGCAACGTTCTCTGCTGCATCTCACCATCGATTCATCGAACCATCGATCGATCTCATCGACCTGAATTTCTTTCTCTTTCACACACACACCTTCTCTCTATATATCTATATCTCTATATATCTATCTATCTATCTATCTATCTATCTATCTATCTATTTATCTATCTATCTATCTATCTATCTATCTATCTATCTATCTATCAATCTATCTACCTACCTATCTATCTGTCTGTCTGTATATCTATATATATA